ACAACGTTATAATGTACAGTTTAAAAATGGATATTCATTTTGAGATTTGAGTGCTTTTTGAATGCTTCTAAAGATTCATTTTAAGTAAGAGTTATATGAAAGCAAAGGTTATACAAGTTATTGATATATATCAAATATAGGCATTTATATTTCCAATATCATCTTATAACTGATTTTATCAATGTGCCTTGCATCACTAGTAGCTCTATTAACTATGGTATTTTGGCAAAAACTATGGTTTCCCTGGTAAATTGTTGTGAGGCTGCACAAAATAATTATTATATTTAACTGCAAATCCGCATTAATTATCTCAATTAAAATGTCAAGAGAAATAATCGACAGTAATCAGTTCTAATCTTGTCTTAGCTGTCATATCATCTAATTCATTGAGTTATACTTCTTTATTCTCTCACTAAGGTCATTGTAGTGTTTCCTTCAGGGAGCGTCTGTTTCCTAATGGCTTGATGGCTTTTAGCACACTGTTACCAAGTGCAATGTCTACTGATTTATTTATTTATATGTTTTTTCATGTAAACGCTTGTGGTCACAGATATGTGCCCTGCTAATGGTTCCTAGTACCCTGTCTCTTTCAGTCTCTCAGTTTTCTTCAATAACTCATAGCACCATTCATTCAGATTTTCAACTTCATTTTACAATAGGGAGTGACGTTGACACCGTAAGAGACGCTGATAAATGTTCTTGGATCTCAGTACAGACGTTGAGCCCACATTGTGCTCTTCCACTTTTGAATCTTCATTCAAGTTCATCAAAGTACAATTTACTTTCCCAATCTTAAAAGATAGCTGATCAAACACTTGGTGATACAAAAGACAGAAGTGAGCTTATATTCTTCATTTTTTGAGTTTTTGAATCAAATCATTTGTTGACTTCTGGCAGGCTCAAAAACAACAAGCCTACCTGACAATCGAAATAATCGTCAATTCTGGCTCCATGTCATTTTTCCAACAAATACTCTTCCTCTCATAAGAGGTTTATTTAACCACAGGTCAGCTGAATGGGCAGATGCCAGCAGAGGGTTTGGTCCACCATAGCTTTTTACTGATTTATAAATTCTCTCTCATGGTTTATCACTCTCATTAATGTCAGCACCTGCTGTAGCGGGGCTCTATCTGTCTGCCCGCAGGCCCTGCAGCTGTGCACTGAGCAAACTGCCTATCAGTTCTGCCTCCCTCCGCCCTTCCACTCCACCAATAAGCGTTTGGCTGGGATAGTTGTAAAAACCTTGCTAGAATCAGGTGCACTTGCTCTGTTGATTGTAAATGTGTGTTTATCATGAGTATGCACATTCCAGGTACATTGGCATGAAAAAGTATTAACCTGATTTTTACATATTTTTCTACCTGAATATATTCATGCATTCACAATAAAAATGTAGGCAAAGGAAACATGGAAAACACAAAGTGTATATTTGTCATCATGTGGTTTATTTAAAGGGATAGCCCACACAAATCTGAAAATTCTGTCATCATTTTTTCACCCTCATGTCATTCCAAACCTGTATGACTGGCTGACCTCTGTGGAACGCAACGTTTTGGTTCCCATTGACTTCCTTTTGTAATTTCTGTCCTAACAAACTGTTTAGTTACTAGAATTCTTCAAAATATCATCTTTTGTGTTCCAAAATAGTCAGTCATAAAGGTTTGGAATGACATGAGGATGAGTAAATGATGATATAATTTTCATTTTTTTATTAATAATAAAAAAGTAATAAATTACCCGTGTTGTCTCTGTGCAAAAGTAATTGCCCCCTTAGTCTTTGAAATCAACGGAAATTAAATTGGAGTCAGAACTCTTAAAGCCCCGATATACTTCAAACGAAGTTTGTTTTTTGTTCTTCGTTTGGGGGCAAAAAGAAGTCAAAAAGGCTGAGCGACGGTATACTATTTTCGAACATTCCAACACCCCCGTGCTGCTGGAGGCGGGGTGTAGACTAATGTAAACATGTGTCGCGATGCTCTGTGTTTCGAACTGCCGAAACTAACTCAAAATTAACTTCGTTTCAGCCTGATTTTGTTCAATGATGCCATATCAGTTCGTTCTTCGATTTTGTTTGAAGTATATCGGGGCCTTTAGTGGTGAATATTCCCAAAAGTGGTCAGAATTTCTCAAACGGCACACTGGCACCTCATCTGGAAAGCTTCAAATGATCACAGAAAAACTTTCAAAGAACTACAGGTAGGGCTGTAAATCATGAAAATCGCATTTGATTTTTTACACAGCCCTAACTACAGGTTTCTCTCGCATCAGCTAAGGTCATGGTTTATGACTCCGCAATAGGAAAGGGACTGTGAAAATAGACTTATGGAAGAGTAGCCAGGTGAAAAATTCAGCTCACCAAGAAAAACATCAAAGCTCACATCATGTTTGTTAAAAAGCATGTGATTATCCCAAGACCTTGGTTTATTCTATGGTCAGATGAGTGAAAATGTAAATAGCGAATGCAGCATTGAACTGACTTTGTGGTTGACTTGGTATGTTTTTCTGTCTGTGGTGGCCTCTGTGACTTGGATTCACTCATATACTAGAGATTGTCGGAGCATCTGAGCATGGCTTGAAGCTAAAGTGAAATTGTGTGGTACAGCAGGACAATAATCCAAAACAAAGTCAAGTTGACATCTGAAAGACTGAAAAGAAATGGGCTCATATCAAATTACAGGTGCTATTTGATTGCCGTTATTATTATTTAATGTTGTATAGTCAGATATTAGATTTAAGGAGGCATTCTTTTTCCTCAGGGGTGATGAGAGTCTGTGTTAGCCAATTTCACTTAATGAAATTTTCACTTCGGTTCCCTTTGAGCAGTATGTCATTTTGTTTGAAATGTTGCAACCATTTTGTTCTCCAAATAGACAATTGCTAAGGGGGCAAAAAAAGGGGGCACTGTAAGTCAGTAATAAAATAGAAATTTGCAATAGAATTATCCTGCAAACAGGATATTCTTTTCTAAACTTTATAAGAAGCTCATTGAGTTTTCAGATTGAGTTTATTTCTGTTTTGGTGGTCAGAACTGAATATGGCGTTAAAGGGTCATGAAACCCCCCATTTCAGCACTGGTTAGTTCTCTCCACAGTTTTAAAAACGCTAAAAAAGTGGGCGTGGTGCGCTGCGAGTGGAGGGGGAAGAGGGGAGACAGACAACACACACACAGCTTAGCGTTCTGACAGTTTAATTTCCCTCCCATCGAATTAAAAACACAAATGCACAGCCATTTACTCTCTGCATCAAAAACATATATATGAACACGCTGTTGCACCTCTGAGAACTTTTAAGGCTTATTCTCTGGAGTTTATATAAGCCTTTTGACGGGTTGTGTCACAAAGCTGTAAAAACGGTTATGCTCGCTAAGTGAATGAATCGCGTTTGTGCCGAACTCTTATTACAATGCAAAAACAAACACTCTCCGTCGATCCATGAACGTTTCTCTCAGTTAATGTGCGCAATGTCATCTCACAGACTCTGAAAGGTGTCATAGCAAATCAACACATGCTGTTGTGAATAATTAAGCGAAGCGTCTTCTCATAGGATAAGAATACGCAGTCTCATGAATAATTTAATAGACACCGACGCGTCATCGATGTACTATTAGTCCATTGCCACGTCACAAATTGTGATGTCAACACAATGTAGATTTTAAACCCGGAAGATGAAAATAGAGCAAAAAAGCTTAAAATTAACCAGTGTTCTCCAACAGTTCAAATGATCAGATGCTAATATCGTCTTCTATGATGTGCAACACAAACACCTCTGCTAAAATCTCAGAAAAAGTAGTCTGGGGTTTCATGACCCTTTAAGGCGGCAGCCTTATCAGTGGCGCATGAGATGCGATGACGATGTAAGTGTCGTTGCATTATAATGTATTTGTTAGCCTATCCAGTTAAAGCCACTAGATGCGGTGCTGCTGCGTTGTTCATAACAAATATTGCGGGAAAAGAAAACGTCAATGCGGAGATGATGTTGTTTACATCAAAACTGAAACCAAGCCGTTCACACAGAAAGCATATTTCGCGCATTTTCTAGAGGGACATCTATCACCGTTGCACTCGCGTCTCGCACAAAAGAGCCGCATGTTTAGAAAGTCATGTAAAATTAATGCAAGTTTAACTTTGAAAAAACATATATCGAGACTTTATGGTGGGTTTTTTCCCATCCCACAGCATCTCATGTTTTTAAATGAAAAAAGTACAGTGTGTGATTGGCTTTCGGTGCTTTGTATTAAACTATACAGTGGGTACGGAAAGTATTCAGACCCCCTTAAATTTTTCACTCTTTGTTATATTGCACTTTGATTTGAATAAACGTGCATTAGTAATATTTTGCTCGATGCGCCCTCTTGTGACCTCAGGAGAGAAGCCAAAAGCTTTTCTTCACCCTAATGCCGAGTTCACGGGTTCTTTTCAAAGTCGTCGGGTCACCGTGGTTTTCAAACTGCACGACTATCTGGGGTAGCAGTCAGTCGCTGCTGTGTTCACATTGCACGATGGATTGGCGACAGGAGGTTACACTGCATGACTTCACAATAGGAAGAATCGCCGACAGCTCTGTCTGGCCCGCAAACTATGTTTCACAACAAAACACGCGAGAAGTGATAAGGAAATAACGCGAGAACCCGCGTGCGTCAGACTCCGGTTCTTGAGCAAGACTGGAATAATAAAATATATATATAGCCTGCAAATTGTCTGCGAGCTGATTTCTAGCTACAAGGAGAAAAAGAACAACAGATTATGCAGGAGGGAGATGCAGGGAATAGGGATTGGGTGTTCTGCAAAGAGAGTTGGAGGTAAATCATTTTGCAGTAACTGTTATGCTGATGTTGTGGCTGGTCAAGCAAATGTTTGCGGTTGTTTCTGTATGATATAATTGTTCATATATCTATTAAAATACTGATATTCTGGTCTATAACTCCTCCCTGAACTTCCATCTGCCCTGTATCTTGGTCTCTCATTGGCTGTAGGTCATCGCCGATGTAGTTTTCAGTCAGAAATCATTACACCCAGCGTGATTGTGAATCGCACAGCTCCAGATATTTAGCATGCCAAATATTTTGCGGGCGTCGGCAACGTGTCGGCGATTCCCTCAGATCGCGTCTTTGATAATTCACACTGCGTGATTGTCACTCGCGTGAACGAGCACCGATTTGCCTCCGATTTCAGGCATTTGTCGGCAATTTCACAAAACCTGTCGGCGAGTGAAAAATCATGCTAAAATCGTGCAGTGTGAACTCTGCATAACTGAAATTATGCATTTTAAATTTGAATAGAATTCGAGTTTTGATCATATTTAAGTACAAAATTCAAATTTAGTTTTTCAGCCATTTTGACAGCCCTAATGGAATTTCATGTTGTATTTAACATGAATGACATCTGAATTATGTAAATAATGACTCAAAACTGCATTTAAATATCAAAGACAACAGTGTTTAGGATCAAAACTGCAGGAGAAAAGACGGCATCTTACTTTGTGTTTCTGAATGAGGTGGAAGTTCTTCTCGTACAACAGAAGAGCGTGTTCAAAATTTCGACATTCTTCTTCAGACCACGGGAGCATCTCGACTAAATAATAACATTCACATAAGTTTATTTTTCAACACGCAGTTCAACAAGCCTACTATAACAAAACAACCATAACTACACCAATATTTCCACTTACCCTTTGAGGATTTGTGGTTGCTGCGATACAGTTCAAGAGCTTCCTGGACGTTATAGTTACACTTTAAAAGCTCGTATAAAGCCTGGAGAAAACAAACAGGTAAGTTAACACTAAAAAGCCTACTGAACATTTTCTAAGTTCTCTAAATGATCAACATGACCAAACACACTATCTCCTACATGCCTTCTGTCGTCTGATTGATAGTTTTTTAGCGAGGAAAAGCGCTTTTAGTGTAATTGTACAAACGTCCAGCTTCAGCTCGTGCTTCATGTGTCTTTTTGCTGTCGAATCTTTACTGATTCTTATGAAGTAAACATAAGAATAAGAGCGTTTGTTTCCAGAAGCTTTACTTTCACTGTTCCTCAGAGGAGGAATGATCTTCACAAGCCTCCAGAACATCACACATCTTCTGAGGAACGTTTATTTCTTCATCTCTCAATCAGCACTGGATTGCACTGCATTATACAGGTGCATCTCAAATTAGAATGTCGTGGAAAAGTTCATTTATTTCAGTAATTCAACTCAAATTGTGAAACTCGTGTATTAAATAAATATCATTTCAATCTCATCTTACATATGAGACATTATTGGAGATAAAGAGTGAGGACTGATATTTATATCCCTTTATTTAAGTATCTGCTGTACTGTTATAAAGATCTCATTGCTTTACATTACAAGCATCAGAATTTCATCACTTTTTGGCCATTTCAAAATAAGCATCTCCACCAAATCGCCTATTTTTGCTCAGTTTGGGCCTCTGAATAAAACTCAGCTGTTTTTTCCCCTCCATATTCTCACTATATCAGACTATATGAGCCATAAAAGTCTGATGCATCAAATGTGATGCTCAACGAAACTTTTTTTTTAAATATATATATATATTTTTAGATTGTGTACATTTTCAATAAACTGTTCGTTAAAAAAAAAATTCTGACCATTATTTCAGATGTCAGGCTTTACAGGGTTAAGTGTTATTAATAACAGCACTATGAGTGCTTATGAAGTGTTCAGTCAAATCTATTTAGTGGACATAATTAACAGCCCATCAGGTGTAACAAATGTGTTTGTTTTGTGTAAAACTACAGATCTGTGAACTTCACCTGCTCGTTGTCTTTGACCAGAGAACATTTGCCATATCCGTCCATCTTTCCATCCGCACTCAGAGCATCCTGCAAGAAGCTTTTGACTTTTGACTCGGGTAAGACATCCGGCTGCCAAAGCAGCTGATCTTCCTCTGCGTACACTGTACAACACATTCAAGGAAAACCTGCATCAAAATACTTTTCTACATCTCCAAAAACCATAACAATTGCATAAAAACTGTGCAGATGGTGAAAAATAACTTCAGTGACATTTTTCAGCATATCCAATCCCAATGAATAAACAAGTCTCACCCTACATTATTTTGCACAGAATATTTCACTAAGAAATGCATGTAAACAATGTTTACACCATTTCATGTAGTATTTAACATTGGTAGCATCTGAATTATGTAAACACCGACTCAAATCTGCACATACTTCATTTAAATATCAAAGACTCACCTTTTTCATGGTCATTATAACAGGTGAGAGAAGGAATTTCAGCCTGATATTCAGATCCCACCATGATCTCCTGCGAAAACACAAATGAACTTGAACTTTGTACGACACACATAAAGGATAGGAAACAACCCCTTTTAAACACAAACTTTGAATAAGACTGTAAATAATCTATTATATCTGACTCTAGACTACAATAACAAAGCCTAGCCTATAGAAAAAACATCTAATAAGTTATCTTCCTCACCTTGCGACTGTCTTCAGGACTCAAACCATCATCCTCACCCTCAGATTCTTTGTCTCCGTCGTAAACCGCATTCGCTGGAAAACAAACAACAGAATTGAGCGCTACAGAAAAATCAGACACGTAATGGAAACTGGAGGACAGACTGCACATTTGTAAGTGATAGCATAGGTAAACAACGTCTATGTGCTTACAGCGAAGAGTCCTGGGGAAGAAATCATTGGTTTCGTGTGACGTCACAGACGGTGTGAGGTCATCGGCAGAAGATTGTGTTTCTTCATCGTCTCCAGAGAGCAGATCTTTAGCGATTTCCTCCTGTTACGAGAAAAGATGACATGTAACAATGTCAATGAACAGCTAAAATATACATGTACAAACACAACTGGTCAAAAGTTTGGAATAATCATGATTTTGTTTTTTTGAAAGAATAGGCTGATTTGCTGCTCAAGAAACATTTCTGATTATTACCAATGTTGAAAACTGTTGTGCTGCTTTCAATTTTGTGGACACCGTGATACATTACCATTGAGGTAAGTACTTAATAAAAGTATTTAATAATAAAATTAAGTAAGGATGCATTAAATAAGTCAAAAGTGACAGTAAAGACATTCATAAAGTTACTACAGATTTCTATTTCAAATCAAAGCTGTTCTTTTGAACTTTGTTCATCAAAGAATCCTGGAAAATAAAATGCATCACAGTTTCAACAAAAATGATCAGTTTTCAACACTGATAATAATCAGAAATGTTTCTTGAGCAGCAAATCAGCATATTAGAGTAATTTCTGAAGGATCACGTGACACTGAAGACTGATGCTGAAAATTCAGCTGCGCATCACAGCAATCGATCAATTACATTTAATTTATATTCAAATAGAAAACAGTTACCTTAAGTTGTAATAATATTTTACAATACTACTGTTTTTACTATTTTCGATCAAATAAATGCAGCCTTGGTGAGCAGAAGAGACTTCTTTCAAAAACACTTTATAAAGCCAAAATTTTGACTGACTGTGTATTTGAAGAAGCCAGTCATCCAAAAAAACAAAAAACTAAAACGATAAATCTTAAGATCTCGTTACAACTATCTATACTTTAGTGACTTACTTTATCTAACGTCATATCGGGCAGCTCATCGGTCAGCTCTACAGATGAACTGTCTGCACTCGAGCCTCCGACAGCACTGTCTGCAGCTTCATATCTGTACAACGCCAGCAGCTCTTCCAACGGCATGCTCCCCTCCTGTGACACAGATGTTTAACTCAACGCTTTATCACTGCAAACAATTCAGAAATCTACAGATGCACAATATGTGTGCGATGACATCAGTGCTGGATAATATTAATACACTGATAATGTACACACTTTTTGTTTTGATAATGTCAGCCTGGTCGTATGTGTTATTAGCCACAATATAAAAATAATCACAATCCCTAAAAGAAATTGACATGCGTGTTGGACAAAAAAAAATCAAAGCAAACCTTCTCTAGATCAGCGATTTCCGAGCTCCCGCTTGACTCGCCCTCCCTCATCTCCTCTTCCTCTAGCGTACGCTCATCATCAAAATCATGCACCAGCATTTCTGCCGTCGGGTCAAAATCGTGATCTTCCGATGACAAAGAGCCAACTGAAAAGATCAAATTTACAAAAAATATATTCAATGTTATGTATAATATATATATACAAGTATCTCACAGAAGTGAGTACACCCCTCACATTTTTGTAAATATTTTATTATATCTTTTCATGTGACAACACTGAAGAAATGACACTTTGCTACAATGTAAAGTAGTGAGTGTACAGCTTGTATAAGTGTAAATTTGCTGTCCCCTCAAAATAACTCAACACACAGCCATTAATGTCTAAACCGCTGGCCACAAAAGTGAGTACACTCCTAAGTGAAAATGTCCAAATTGGGCCCAATAGGTTGTTTGCAATTCTGATTCTGATGACGTGCGAAATGCAGCTGGAGGGCAGGAAGTGATTTTTCTCCATAGAAATCACTAGCAGAAACTCAAAATGCCAGCATTTTGTATTGTTTATGGACGCTCAAATCGGACAAACCGAGTAACCACAAGGAGCTTTTATCGTGTACAAAAATGTGTTGCTCATAAGGGGGGAAAATTCAAGAATTTCAAGCCATTTTCTCTCCCCTGTGTCATGTGACTCAATTCAGCTTTGATCACAAGAATAAATTAGATTTTAATATATATTCAAATAGAAAAACATTATTTTACATCATAATAATGTTTCACAATATTAAATTTTTCATGTATTTTTGATAAAATAAATGCAGCCTTGGTGAGCAGAAGAAACTCCTGTAAAAAACATTACAAGTCTTGCTGATCCCAAACTTTTGACCGGTAGAGTGTGTGTGTATATGTATATATACAGTGGTGTGAAAAAGTGTTTGCCCCCTTCCTGTTTTTTAAATTTTTTGCACATTTGTCACACCTAAAAGATTCAGATCATCAAACACATTTTAATATTACACAAAGATAATGCAAGTAAACACAAAATGCAGTTTTTAAATGATTATTTATTTTATTAAGGGAAAGTCTTGGGGATAATCAAGATATTTTTTTGGCAAATGAGAGACGAGAATGTGTGTTCTTTCTGGTCAGCAGTGGCTTTTGCCTTGGAACTCTCCCATGGATGCCGTTTTTGCCCAGACTATTTCTTATTGTTGAATCATGAACACTGAGCTTAATTGAGGCAAGTGAGGCCTGCAGTTCTTTAGATGTTGTTCTGGGTTCTTTTATGACCTCTTGGATGAGTCGTCGTTGTGCTCTTGGAGTAATTTTGGTTGGCCGGCAACTCCTGGGAAGGTTCACCATTGTTCCAAGTTTTCTCAATTTGTGGATAATGGCTCTGACCGTGGTTCGCTGGAGTCCCAAAGCCTTAGAAATGGCTTTATAATCCTTTCCAGACTGATACATGTCAACTGGTTTGATTCTCATCTGTTCTAAAATTTCTTTAGATCGGGGCATGATGTGTTGCTCTTTAAGCATGCTTCACTTTGTCAGACAGGTTCTATTTAAGAGATTTCTTGATTCAACAGGTCTGGCAGTAATCAGGCCTTATCATTACCAAATAGACATTATTAAACAAATTCAGAGGAAAATTTACCTGGGCTTGTACTTCCCAAGGAAGCCTGAAATTGCAAAAGTAAAAAAATACATGAGATGTTTAAGGAATTTACAGTATAATGAAGAATAGTGGTTAACGTCCCTTACCAAAAGGTTACTGTAGTAACAATAGTTTCCAAATTTCCACAGGTACTATAAATATTATGGTTGCAAAACTATGGGATGCATGACTAAGACTAATGGTCTTAGTCATTTTGTTTTGATGAGAGTGGCAGCTAATATCACCACAGTTTTACTGTAGTAAAGCTCACTTTAAAGTACCGTTACCATAATAATTATTTGTAAGTAACAAGAGTATGAATCGTAACTAATATATTAATATTATTAATAATATGCTTCGCACCCATGACAGTTCTAATGATATTAAAAAATATTTCCGACTATAAAAAATATTTAAATGCACAAAAAAACATTAAAAAATAAAAGTGACTCACAATTTGTATGTTTTATTAACATAATTTATATTTGGAAATGATACACAATGTACAACAGAAGCAGTTTGTGAAGTCAAAGCAATATTTAGTGTTTATTCAGAGTCTCCTAAACAAAACACAGCTATGAGGAATTATAAAATAATACATGTTTTATTTAAAAAACAAATAAATAAATAAAATTAAAAAAAAAAAAGGTCGTCACTTCACAGCATCAATCCGGTAACTATTTGCCTGCATGTTTTTTCTACATTTGATCAAGAGATGGATTTTTTAGGAACAATGTACATTAAATCAGTATAAAAAACGTGCTGTGCTAAAACATTTTTAAATGTGTTTTAACAGATTGTAAGCGGTAAACATATTTGTAAATATTAAAAATACTATTTCAGTTTTTTACTTTAAGATTTCATGTTTAATTCAGTGTTTTTTGCTTGCCATTTATTTGTAATTGTTTGTGAAATTCAAAAAAACAGCATTGAATTAAAGATGAGATTTCGAAGTAGAGAGACTGAAATAGTATTTTCTTATAGTAAAATGTACACTGATACTCTTTCTTTTACTTACATCTTTGAAAAATCA